AATGCTACAAATGTCACCACAGGCCTGATTGAAATATACTCGCTTTAGTGGTTATTATTATTAGGGTTTCTGGCAATATATGTAGATGGAGAGGGTCATTCCAGGAGACATCAATTATGTAATCTGATTGCCGTATATAGCTCCACCAGGTTGCATGGTGGTAGTACACTAATTAAGGTGGTACCCCACATTTCCTGGTCAACAATCAAAATGTCTGGTGGTCTATAAAACCCACCGCCCGTCGTTAAATTTACACTTGCACGTTTGAGTTTCTCTATACCGCAAAACCACACACTGCAGGACTTCTTTAATTCGTTGGAAATTAATAGATCACCTTTTATGTACAAATGCAAATAGCCCCGTATATATATACATCCTATATACTTTTTTTGCGTTACCGTAAAAAGGGCTGCTCGACAAACAGAGGACCAGCAAACGGAGTGGCTCGCTAGTGTGTGGAATGCTGTACAGGGCTGTAGTAATTGTGGTATATACATCATTGGTGCACAAGGCGAGCCCTCCTAGTTGTCTGAATGTGATATGCACATTATTACATATATGTATGAGCACTGCCACATACCGTAGTTGTATACGTGATTCTAAATATGTACACGTGAAACACGCGAAAAATCGAAATGCTCATTTTAGCTTGCCAAAAATGATAAAAATAGAGACCCGGGGAGCATGTGTGAAAGTCACGGGAGAATACAGCAGCATTATTCCAATGCACAGTTCCCATTATACTTGGCGTGATGGCGCTACTGAAATTCCCAGAAATGCTAATTGATTGATTAATGTGTGGGTCGATCTGTCCCATGTCAGTGACTTACCAGGGAACAGACTGGGTCATCACCAACACTGTTCACATGCCCCGAGTCCTTTCCTTAGAATCATCCACAGGAGATTTCCTCCCCCAGCCTTGCTCTGGTCATACCATGCATACACCTCTACCCCACGCTAGAGAGCTATGTGCTATGGGAGCAATGGAAGATGTGTCACTGGTAGGTTGGTGGTGGGACCGATGCAACCATTTCTCTGCTTTGCCTGTTGAGTGTGTTACTTCCCTTGTGTGGTAATAGCTTGTATATACACTACAGTTTCTCCCCCCATTTTAAAAATTGGCCCATACTGAGTAATGCACTGTGCGCTGTTGAGGTAATTTTTATTTATGGTCAAATTTTTGTGCCCTAGTGCTATGGCAGCCACCTGAGTATGCAATGTCTGAGGTCAGGTGACATTTTTGTAACAGTTATGGCAGCAATAACTCAGAAAAGCTGCCGACACGGGCAGATCCAAATGAGGTCTCACCCAGCCAAGTGTTTTCAGAGGGTTAAACCAGAAACTCCAGGGGACGTACCGACACTGCCCAGTCGCCCAAGACAGCGGTGGAGTGTTCCCAGCCGGGAGAGGACACCTGTCACTCGAGGCCGTCTGGACCATTCAGAGCTGGGCAGGGCAGGGCTGGGGTGCACCTGATGGGGCAGTGATAAGGTGGCCTGGCCTCTCGCGTGCCCTGCCAAACCATAGTGGTACCAGCTACACCGCTACACTGATGGGCTCCATTAGTGCCAGCATGTGCCACCCATTCCTGTTACAGTGGGTGTTTTGCTGGGGCTTATCCGCGGAGGACACCCGTGTAGAATTGAAGAGTTTTATACGTACGCCTCTTAATGTGAACAAATTCATGGGAGATGCAATTTGTTATGTTTAATAGCAACTCCGTGTAGCTTCCATTGTATATGTGTTTCTGTCGTAATGTCCACGAAAGGCCCAGGTGGAACTTTAGAGCTGTCGTAATTTCCCCAGCACGTGTGCTCTCCAGGTGTATAGGTTTGTATGTGCCTCCATACATGTACACTGTGCAGTGCGTGTGCCTCATGAGCTGGGAGTTTGTTGTTAAAGAACAATGTTGCGACATGCACTACATACGTACGTATTATAGTACTACTATAATATTGTGTAGTGGACAGCTGGAATAATGTTAACCTATATTATTATGTACTGGGCTAAAATGCTTATCACGTTCGTTTTATATACATTGTGGTTGAATTAATTCACCTTGTGCATTTAAATCCTGCATTTCTATTGAAAGATGTGTTGTGTAGTGGGACCAGTGTGTGTAGTATTGTGGGTTCGTTAATGCAGCACGGGAGGTGCACCGTGCGGTTAAGGAGGCACTTGTAACTACATATTCAAGTCTGTTTGGACTAATACCATGGATTAGAGCCTCGTAACGATAGCACGGGAGGTGCACTGTGCGGTTAAGGAGGCACTTGTAAGTACACATTCGACCCTGTTCTCCGACAAATAGCTCTAGATGTGATACCCACAGAGAAGCCCCTACCTGCCGACCGTCGTAACAAACACTTCTTCTGAGTCCTCGAAAACCGCCATATTTTTTACATCAATGTTAACATCGTAAGAATCTTTGTGACTAATACCCCTCTGATGATACCTTTATCTTAGCTCAAAGCTTTCCCGAGTAAAGTTAGCTGTACATCTTATCAATATGTATATACATCCGGGCAGTCAGTGGTATATCCCTATACTTTCTGGGACATACATACAGCTAACTAGGGACGATCAGAGTGGGAAGTTGTGAGGATTCCAGTGGCGTTAGGTTTTTGTACTGTGTGTGCAGTTGGTGCTCAGTGGAGTGTGCCTGTGCAACGCCCAGTTTACACAGAGTGATCAGAGTGTGGATAATCCAATATCCCCCCCCCCTGCCTAGGAACCATGACCACAGCTGTGGTCAGATGAGCTCTACTCTGCGTCCTCGGCCACAGGCTCTCCCAGTCTGCCTGCAATAGTCTTACACGACATGGCACGTACAATGCAACTCTGTTCCTCGAGATTAAAGGGAACGTGTCAGTACATTAGGGCTAAATTTAGAAACGCTACTAAAGATGGAACTAAACAATAGGCCCAGTGCAAGAATGCAATAAGGTTTTTTGTTTTTGTAAAATTTAAGCCCTTATATAAATACTGCCACATTCCCTTTTTAAATTTCATACGCCTGTCTATAGGTCCAATTACTTGCTAAATCAGGAGCCAGCCCTCCTTTAGACTGCCCTACACAACTTCAAATGAATGTACGTATGATAGGCCATGCAACGTTGCATGAAAATAGGAGTGCGTGCATTTCAGGATGCATGGCCTATCATACACATACTTTGTGGGAAAATCTCACACAGAACAGTTGGATCATGCATTACAGTCTGGTCTTTACCAGAGCGAGGCTACTTTGCTGTCCTGTCATACAACTTTCCCACCTGGTGGTACATTGACTAATCACTGACTAGACAGGCACTGGGTCTTAGTTGTATTGGCTCTGTGGGGACATTAAAGGGTTTTACCCACCTGAGATTATCATATCACTCGCTTTTTAAGAGACTGTGGGTTAATATCTACAGCCCTCGAGAGTAACGTCACTTTATGAAAAGAAAGTAGTACGCTCGTACCTACTAATGCAGGAGTGTGTGTGTATTTTTGTTGTACATATTGTAGTCATTTGTGTCTCTCTCCACTTTACTCACTTTTTGGGGTGCATTAGGATGAGCATTAGCAACAACGAAACTTAAGTCTTTCTCCCCCTCCCCCCTCTCTCCCTCCCCCTCCCCTCTCATCCCTTCTCTCCTACACCTCAGGTTCCAAACATTGTTCCATCAATCAGTGCTGTAATAGGAGGGAGCACCCCTGAGCGCTACATATGGCGACTCGGGATCGCGTTCTTCAGTTTCCCCCGCACGTTTGAGTCCTTCATATACCACAACTTCTTTTCCACCTCGCCGGGCCACGCTGCATCGGCCAGTAATTCACATCTCAACAAGCTGGTGTGGCTACTACACGTGGGACAGTGCTTGTCACTCTTCATCCTTACTTACGTCTCCTCCACTGAATATTATGGTCAGTTTCTCCATTTCTCCAAGGGGTGTGGGTATGCTCCTACCATTACCTATACAGAAGCTCTTGAAGAGCCTCGATATGGTGGTTAGGTAGAGTACCGTTATCCAACTACTCACAACTTTTGTCCATATTTTTATCTGCATCATTTGTCAAGATTTGCGTGACGAAGTTTTAGCTACGTGGCACCAGGCCACAGACTACACACCCAGGGCTATGAGAGAAGCCAACATTATTATGACACAGTAGGGCATCTGCCAGACACCCTAACTCACTCCATCCACCAGTGACACCCCGGATACAATCTGAGACGGGACTGTTGAACGCTGTGATTATCGCTTTATAACCTATAGCTCCGAAACATAGAATGCTTAACCCTAGGTCAAGCAGAGGACTAAATTCATCCACCCACAGCTCACTACGATATATGAATATTTTTGAGCATATCAAATGCTACTAGTTGTTTGTCTTAAGCCTTCTGCTCACACAAAGACTGCCTATAGCAGAGAGAAAGAGAGAACTGTGCTCCAGTGATACTAGGAAACGTATTAGCAGTTCTATAGCCTGGGTGTTCTGCGGTAGTAAGTATTCTATCGGTAGTTGTGGGAAAAGTAATCAATACGAGACGAGATGTGCGTATAATAATTAAACCATACTTAATACTGTGGCTGTTAATGAGTAGGCAACCCTGTCGTTATTAGTTCCTAGGAATGGAGGGGTTCTGGTCAATGAAAATATTTACTACGTTTAGTCCAACACTTACTTCCTCTCTTCCAGTGTCACCTAAGACCATAGTGTGTGTGTGTGTGCGTGTGTGTGTGTCAACAACTACGTAGGTTGCATAGCAAGGCAACGGTGAATAACTCCAAACATGGAAGAGGTTCCTGGGTGGGATTCAAACCCACGACCATCTGCTTTCTAGGCCGAGTGCTCTACCAACTGAGCTACCTGGGCAACTCAGCTAGGAGGGGCTCAATGTGTGTTGTCACTAAAAAAAATTTATGATGATGTGCTTTAGTATGCGACTCTAGCATTGTTGGGTGTTTTTAAAATTTTTTTACCCAACTGAAATTTTTCCAAACATGTGCAATTAGTAGGAGTGGTAGTTTTCGCATGAAATGGCGAAAATTGCATTCCTCGCACTCGGTTATTGGTCACACTCACAGTGGAAATTTCCATCCCACACATGCTATAGATGATATGCTCAAAGGGTTTATAATTTTAGTTCGTGTTGAAGGAGCAATGACATGTGTAATAACTTGTCATGTCACTCTGTTATAATCCTATCATACTTCACGCACTACTATATCGTCCACCTCACCCCACCCACTATTGTGTGAGCATGCGCATGAGATGAGAGCTTCTGAACCATGCTAACGGCACTTTACACATGAGACTTAGGTCTGGGCCTCAATTTCAACCAGTGCTCAAGTTCCTTAGAACTTGCCCGCATGTGTTTGTGTATGTGTTACTTCAGGGACTTTAACTTGCCTGAATTCGAGTTCTGGCTCCTAGTACCTGGAGACATGTGGAAAACTGACTGTATATACATGTTTAGGAACAATTTACTTGGTTAGTATTGGGTGGTAGATGGGCAGAGAAGATCATGCCTACACACTGTCATATTGCGTCTGTCACCTACGAGGTAGAAAGGCAAAGGCACAACAAACAAGTCAACTACACCCAGGACAGCTCTTTCTTCTCAATGAAAAAAGAAGAGCTGCCCTGGGTGGGATTCGAACCTACGACACTCTGCAGTCTAGACACACGGTACATGTACAATGACGTGATGCAAAGCTGCATGCTAGAAAGCCTTGTTGTCTTTGAGAGAGTTGGATGTTGCGTTCCTCACAGAGGTGCACCGGAATGGCTTCATCGGATTCATCGCATGTTCCATCCTCCACATGCTGGCTTTCCTGTTCCTGTTCTGGAGAGTACGAACACCTTTCTCGCCCAGGGTCAGCCTCCTATTCACCTGTTTATTACCATACAGTATCCATCTGTATTATACTGTATCCATCTGTATTATACTGTATGTATCCATCTGTATAATTTGGTGTTGGAGTGTGTATATACAAGTGGAATCCCTTCGCCAAAGAACACCCCTGAAATGTCTTTGAAAAGGACTCTTTTTTGGTATCGCTATAGAGTTCATGTTGATGGTTGAGGTCAGGGCACCTTACTGATCAGGACACCTTACTGATCAGGACACCTCGCTGATCAGGACATCTCGCTGATCAGGACACCTCGCTGATCAGGCCACCTCGCTGTTTTAAGACACATTACTAATCAGTGTCAAATAGAGGAGCTTCTCACTATACAAAATCCTACACGTGTGTATGTCGCATGTTTGGCCGACCTAGTCTAAACAGGTGTGCTCTCTGGTGGTAGCATGCCGTGTGGCGTGGAAGGTGTGTGGCGAGGTGATCATTACAGAGACCCAGGTGGGCCAGGTTCCACCCTGCGGGCGTTGTACTCCGATGTAGGATGGCTAATCTAATGTGTGTAATGTATTATTGCTTTCTCTCCTCTCCCTTGTGGAATGCGAAGTGATTGTACTGGTAGTTTGTGGTCGGGGCCACGGTATGCTGTAAACACTCGAGAACCTGTTTTGTTAATGTGTGTCGATAATTAACGTAGCTGGATTAGATTTTATGTTGAGGGGGCACTTGCGGTGCTACCTACACAAGAGTCTCTTTAAAAATATTTTTATTTGAGGTCTGCGTTCTACTCTGATGAGCATGTTATCCTGTGCTTTATTTCCTATTTCTATATCTCTCTCACCACCTATATTTGTCACCCTTCCCCTCTCCCTCTTCTTCTCCCTCCCTCTCCTCCCCCACTCCCGCTCTCTTTCCCTTTACCCTCTCACTCCTCCTCACCCTCCCTCTTTCATGGTGTACACACACACACACACACAGGACAGAAAATCATTTCGGTTGCGGGTCTCGTTTACCATTCTCCACATTTTGTTCTTCGTCACAAGTATCTACTTCTTCAAGCGCCACAATGACTACTGCGAACCGTACAGTATCCTCACACTACAGTCAAAACCTCTCAATAATGGACACCTTGGGGACATAAACGTATCTCTATTCAAGGTGCCCCTTATTCGGAGGTAATATAATGTATTAGTATGGGGCGGAACCACAGTGTCCTTTATAGATAATGGTCATTAATTTGGACGGTCCTTTTTCAGGGGTTTCTCTCTTTTTATGTGTTCCATGTACAGTGGAAAAGACACCTCTGTGAAATGATATCTTTCCCAAAGAGCATTTTGTTACAATAGAAACACCTCACTAATGGGTTTGTTAACGGTTCCGCCCATTGCTGTGGGTGCGTGGTCTATGGCCCTAGTGCTATGGCAGACACCTGAGTACTACTGTCCCATTGGTGTCCAGACACCAGAGACAAAAGTGCTTGAAATTCCACTATATTTAATGGAGAAGAGCGCAATAAAATGTAAAAAATATGTGCCTAAAATTTGTGAATAATGAACATGTGCATGCATTAAGAAAAAGATTGATGATTCCACGAAATTTATAGGGAAAAACATGTGTACGTTAAGAAAACAATTGGAATTCCATGAAATTAATGGAGAAAATCGCTGCTCTGTGCGTAGCTGTAATACTTAGTATGCCTGCCCACTGGCATGCACACAGTATGCGTGATTTGTGGCGAGGAGGATGGGAAGGAAGCTGTGGGTAAACTGGGGAGCAGTGTGTGGGTGGGCAAAACAAGAGATCGAGTAGTCTGACCACAGAGAGTGTTCCTTCTTCCTGCTCCTGGCTCCCTAACATGGTCCCCTGGTTCTGGGAGGAGAAAGCAGGAAACCTCATAATTATGAGGGAAATTAGTCACTTTCAGCACCCACCATTTCTCGGTATGGTCTGAACGATTGGTTGATGTTACTAAGCAATCATTTATGAAGGGTACCAAGCAACCGATTAATGGAATTCCACAAAATTAGTGCATATATTACGATTGATGTAACCTCGGTCATAGCATCATCAACAAAAACACTTGTAACTCAGAGACAACGTAATGCAGCACCTCCAAAAACAGGTGCAACACCCATCCCAGAATAGTGTTAGAAATTCTGTGTATATATACATTATTATGCACATAACCCCCCTCACCCCACACAGAGTTGTACTGGTGTGGAAGGTTTAATTAACTAGTGTTCAACTTTAGACGTGATGTTGTAAGATTTTTAAATTGCTCCTGCATATTTTACAAGACTGACTTATTTTGTACTGTATGACAATTTAGGAGGAATAGATACAGGGTTTTGGACAGTGATGGTTACTGGGCAAGAGTTCGTTACAACATTGAGAACAAACAATTTTACTGCGGAATTAAACCATTTTTGACTTGGTGCATCCACTCACAAACCTGGCTGCAAAGACCACTAACTTGCCTCCCTCCTCCATTTACCAGTCCCCTGCCAGTGTGGGAACAAAAATTTAACCAAACAGGAAAAACACTGTACTCTGTTTTGCCCAGGAATTGAAGCTGGTTTCTGGGTGTTACAGAACCTGAAAAACCTTCCTCCTCTTTCCTCCCTTCTTCAAATGGTCATTCCTGGTATATAGTAGCTTCATAGTATCCCTCGGCTTACAACACACATACGTAGCAAGCCACACATCTAGTGACCTACAGAACATTGATTCAGTTAATTTCCATGGTTTTTACTCCTACTCGAAAGCTCAGTGTGCGGTAAATCTACATAACATTTCGGTTCCCTCCCTCCACACCCCCGAATGCACCGTGTCTTGCGAAAGCACCGAGGGATATACATACTCACTACACGCCCACTGCTGTTCCCGTGGCCTGGCCCCTGGTGAGCATTCCACCATATCCACCTCACTGCTCTAGAATCTAATTTTGGGCCTTTTTTGTGCTCGTACTAATCTAATTTGAGCAGGCATGCATGGACAACAGTAGTGCGTCCCTGCTTCGTGGACAGGCTCTACACTTGCAGTAGTGTGTGACCTGAATTAGCCCAGTGTGGGGGTGCTTATTGGAGTAACCCAATTATTAACAAACATGTGTGTGTGCATATGTGTGTGTGTTTCTCATAGTGACCCGGGCCAATTATTCCCACAACTGAATGTGTGTGGAATTTTCGGGTATGGCGTAATACCAGGATGTCCCCTTCCAAATTTGGTTATGTTTCACATGCGTGGTGAGTGTAAGGAGGCACATACGTACAGTCAATATTGCTGTAGCTTGCCCCTACAATCAATTATTGTTTGCCTGGGTACCCTCGCATACGTCACAAACCATTTGAGGAAATTCGGAGCCTTGAGGACGGTCTTCTAAGGTTGTCACACAATTAGCGGGAGATCCTACTGTCTTTCAAAAAACCTTTCGCAAATCGAGGAATCGCTCAAAGCTAGTTTCGAAAATAGCCTTTTGTGAATAAAATCCGTCAAAGTGTATGGTCGAGAACGACGGTATTCGTTTCTGTGTCAGCAATGTGCCAAATTATTTGCAATTGCTGAAGAACTGTTTTAGGGGAGAGAAATTGTTTCCCTAATAGAAGTGTCGTTATTTAAAGGCAATGTGGCAGTTATTATTATAAGGGCTTAATTTAGTAACTGTTACTAAAATTTTATTGCATTCTTGCACTGGGCCAATTTTATCTTTAGTAACATTTCTAAATTTAGCCTTTATGTAGTGACACATTCCCTTTAAGTGGTGTACTTACCAAAGGGACCACTGAAATGTAAATAAAAACTTATGAAATTTCTCCTTGACATGATACTGCAGTGTACAGTTTGTACGGGGCCTTGGAGTATCTGGTGGTGTTCACCAACATTGCCTTCCACACTGTGGCGACTGTGGACTTTGGAGAATACCATCTCACCCTCGCCCCTCTCACCTCATTCAAATACAGCTAGCCACGCCTCCTCGTTAGCGGACGGCGTGTGCGTCGTGTGTTGTAGGCTCGTACAGTTTCTGTTTTGTTTTCACCTCCTGCAATCTTGTATTATTATTGTGGAAACTTGGGTCTACTGCGTATTACTAGAGATTATGTACAGTAGAACTTCTGAATAAAAGACGACACACTGGGACCATTGTGGATCCAATAAAGCTGCACAGTGATACGTGTGGACAGCTTGCACAGGAGTCAGCAGCCTCCACCGTGATCTTTTTCACCTGAATTATAGACTGCTTGTGCCTATATACTCCCCAAATAATGCATGGAATTCACTCTATACAGTTCTGGTTGTGATGGTCATGTATGCATTCATGCCTCAATGCAGAAGCTAGTTGTATGCATGGGTCAATGTCAATACAGGCAATTTGGAGGCGAGTTGGCTGTTTACACACATGTATATACAAATTATTCAAAAAGCAAAATGCCTGTTCTTGTGCACACTAGTGATCTGACATAAGTGCAGACAGGATCGTAGGGGGGATACAAGAGACAAGGGTAAGGATTTGTTACACCTGTACACCATTCCATAAGGTTGAACCACATGCTGTCAGAAGATGGCTGGTGCTTGGTGCCCCTGGAGCGTGGGTGAGAGGTAGCCCGTGGTTGGTGCCCCTGGAGAGCTGTAACCCCTGGAGTGCGGGTGAGAGGTTGGTGCCCCTGGAGCGGGTGAGAGGTAGCTGGTGGTTGGTGCCCCTGGAGCGTGGGTGAGAGGTAGCCCGTGGTTGGTGCCCCTGGAGCGTGGGTGACAGGTAGCTGGTGGCAGGGGTGCAGGCCCTGTTGGTGCCTTTGAACAGGACTGGAGCATTTCCTTTGCTTTGAAGAAAGTTTCCATGCGCCCTTGTTCCTTCATAGCATGCGCAACATGGCATTAACTGAGCAACTTCCCTGGCCCTTTTTCGCCTTTTTCAAGCCAAGAGGAAGTAGGATGTACACATGTCATTCCTATACTGTACTGCATCAGACAATAAAGTGCCTTTGTCCTCATAGGTAAATCTGTGTGGGCCCTTATTTTAGTTTGATATTGTGGTTGGAAGTTACAAGGGCCTTATGGCGGTTGGTAATTCATCCCTCGCAGCAATTTACAGTATGTCTTCTTTGTACGATGCCCTGTGAGAAAGTTCCCTTGGTAATACCCTACGTTATTTTGGCTGGGCTGCGGTCTTTAGTTTCTCATGGCACGATTTTTCACACTACAAAAGGATGACACCAGCAACTTTTACATAGGCTGGGAATAGTTTTTGCTGTGTCAAGGAATAATAAGGTTAATTTGATGTGCTCTTGATTGATTGAGACTAGGTTCCAGCTTGAGCCAGCAGATAATAATGGCAGATAGTATGTATGGTTTGGCGAGAAAAACTGACGTTCGGCATTTTTCCTGGCTGGACCACCACTCATTGCTTGGCCAGCCAGCATTAACTGAAGGGGTCAGAGTCAGAGTGGGACAACCCTTTTTCCTTCAAATATGTTCTAAATGTCCTTATAGAACAAAAACCGGCAAGAGTTGTATATTGAGGGTTGGCTCACTCTGGCTCTGACCCCTTCAACTGTTCCTCAGAACAGCTATACGTAGCTAAGCAACTAAAGGCTGGGAGATGTGCATAAAGCTAGTCACTTGGTCATTGCATTCACACTCATGTCAAACTCGTCATTGTGGACAAACTCATCATGTCAAACTTGTCATTGTGAATTGTACAGATGATGAAAGTGATTATAACAGATCATTGAAAAAATCATCGGCAGGTTTTGAATCAGATACACTCTGGAGTAGTTCTCGTTTCCTCTTCCTCCCCCTCCGCTCTTCCTCTTTCTCCTCTTACCCCCTCCTCCTTCTTCCACCTCCTCTTCTTCATCGTCCCGTTCACCGACGACTGTCCCAATTGTATCCGGGGCAAACTTCGGGATGTCAGAGAGGGGCCAGAATTTGCAGTGGTCCTGAGAGGAGGTGACCATGAACTGCCTGTCATGAGTGAGTCTCATGCAGTCAATGGGGTAGCCGTCTGTGTGTCTTCCAACCTCTGTCAGCACCTTGTTTGGTAGGATCTGCACTGCTCTGAGTGTGAGAGAAAATCAGTCGTAATAATTATAGTGTGATTCGCTTGTTTGAAACATGCCCACCCTCTGTATTCGATAGTACACCTAATTATACATGTATTTTTCGTATGTAGACAGTATTGTAATGCTCTATGCCCCATACTATTAGCTATAGTGTACCTTTTTATTTTTATTGACTGACAGCAAGTGGGGCCAGCTAGCTAGCTAGTATTAGTATCAGGGAGAAGACTATCATAGCCAGAAGAAGTAAGACATAAGGTGTCTATTAAAAGGATGGTCCCACCTGATTGTTCCGTCCATGCATCCAGAGCACACCACACTGTCACTGGTGGCAAGGAGAGAGTCAACGGACTGAGGGTGGCCAGGGAATCTATCAGTGATGTCTCCCCACAGACCCCAGTTGAACACCAGGAGGCAGCCCTCTCCATCCCCACACACCACCTTACGACCTCCCTATGTACATACATACACATGTTTGGGGATGGCACAGAGTGTGATAAACAGAGTACAGCGGGAAACTTTCGTAGGAGAAAACTTCACTGTTTATGAATGATATTATGTGGGCAGTTACATTATTTATTGCTGAATCAGCAATCTGTGTTTTACTACACTAAAATACCAAAAAAGGTTTCTCCCTCAAACACTTTCCACTATAATGGTACACATACATCATGTGATAGATAACAGACTCTGTATAATAGAAGGGGAGAGAGAAGCAGGAAGAACAGAGAAGAGATGAAAACATGATATGAACAAATACATAATCTATGTAGGTATTGTGGTTTCACAGATAGAGCTCAATCCATGCTCCAGGAAACAAAAGAAAATGAAAAGCTGAAGTGCAAACCCTCGGCGAACTGCGCATGCGCAATACTTCTAATTTATGGGCTGGGCTGCGTTGTTTACTCGCTAGTAGCTTGCGGAGAGTCTGACACGGGCTAGCTACAGTAGTATATAGCATGCGGGAGTCGATACACGCCCTTCGTTGTGACTTCCTGAGCCCCCAAGGTACACAGAGCGAGCGGATCAGGTCGCGGTAAGCCCAATGCGATTATGCAATTGCTGGTTTTCATGGCATAATTATCTCTCCGAACGCAGTCGTTTTCAGGAAATCGCCCTTTTGATTTTCAGCCTCGCGTAGTTTCTGAAGCAGCTGGTATCAGCGAATAGACCGCCTCGTAGCCTGTAGTGCCAGAATGCGTCGACGACAGAGACAACCAACTCTCGCTGCGCATGCGTGCGAGGGTATGATTAGCAGCGTCCATGCCATGTAGTGTGGGTGTAGGATGGAGTGTGTAACACTGACACCCAGCTCCTTACAATGTTATATCTGACATTGTGTATTGAACTTTCCCTCACTAACACACCCATATGAGGCTCCAGGAACTTTCACTATGTCTCCCTCTGTATATAAACACTACCCATGTCTGCCATCCATTAGTGTATAGCTTATTTGGATAATCTCAACCACCCCGGCTGCGGATGATATGTGTGGTAATGCGTTTTGAGTGTTGCCGAGTTGGGCTCTAACCTCACATAGTTCACACCAGGTTAACACTCGCCTGAATTTACATATGATAATACAGAAACCTACCGACGCGATGCGATTTGAGAATTGTTTTGTCGAACATAGCACTATAGCATGGTGGTTTGCGACCTTTTGTGTATTACATTACTGTTGCGAGTCTATTGTGAACCAGCAGAAGAGGACAGGGTTTATGCGCTCCTTAACGATGGCCTGTGACAGGAGCTCCACTCTCTGAGTGGTCTGACCTCTGCTCCAGTTGCTTCTGACTTCTGACGGAGGTCAAGGCCGAGAGTGTCCCATCACACTGCATGACACAAGTTATACGTACACATCTCAGCTGAAGATTTTTGTTGGGTCTGAGTCAATGACGCGGCCACTCACTACGTGTATATTACCTTGACAATGTGCAGTACACTCCACCTTCAAGCAGAAACTGAAGGTGGCTTAACTTTACGTGAGCGCATGTTGATGACAGAGAGAGGCCACGCCTCAGGAATTACTGAGGAGGCTGGTCTAAATTTTTTAGTCGAGCACTGATTCGTGCAAATATGAGACATATCCGACTCCATCTGATTACCATGGTCTATAGTTGGAAACTTCGTACTTTTTGTGAGCTGTAGAAGAAGTGATAGAAGCAACTCAACTGCCTGCTCAAACTATATGAGGCGTCGTGCAGTTATACTAAATTGGAAATGGTTTTCCACACTCGCTAGAGGCCTTGTGATATACTAAGCAGAGTACGAAGGCTAAGGGCTCAAACACAGGCACGAGAATCACTAAATCTTTCCAGAAGGATATTTACATACTCAAATCACATGCATTTTCCCTTGGGTCTTTGTGTCTGAGTGGCAAGATTGGCCACTGTCACTCCCTTATTGAAGGACCCCACATGATCCCACCTGGTAGCTAGCAGGGTGGTGGAGTCATCATTACACGTCATGTCTGAATGAAGTCCTTGGACTCACGAACTGACATCACACACTTCCACACTCGAGAGTCCCACACCTATGGCATTACAGTGAAAACGAAATTTATGCGCTTATTGTTGGAAACATGTGTCATCTCTATAATTATACTAAGTACTACTGTTGGGTAAATACTCCATGATACCAGGGCTCCTACATCAGTGAGCCGATGATGTAAAAAATTGTAAAGTAATTCCTTGCGGAGGAGCTTAGAACAGAAACTTAGGGAATGCTAAATTTGGGCACAGAGACTGAAACAATAGGGCCCAGTGCTATGTTTCAGTTTACAGTAACTCACCACTGCCTTAGGAGTCTAGATTGCCACCCACACGACTTTCGCTCGTTCTTTGGTCAGTTTTTAAGCAGGGTTTTAGTCCTATATACAACGATATATGAAGCCCCAGTCCATGTCCATGTCCTAAATATCCTGGTTTTCTCCTATGTAATGTGGGAGCACCAACTAGTTCCAATCTCACCCTCGGCGCGAATGTGCAGCGAGGGTTACGGTATTGTTCGTGCGTGTGTGTTATCATCATGTTTTCTTTCTGCCAGCACAACGAGACAACAAAGAGCGATACCAAAAGCTTGAGTGCTAGCTACACTGGCTTGATTTTAAATTTGGAGAGTTTTGTATAAAAGTACTGCGTTCGAGAGTTATGACGTAAAAACCAAGGTGAAAAAGCCAATATGCAAATTCGCACAGGCTTACCTCTGCTTGCTCTGCATAATATGTTGGAGGCACCGAAAGTTGCAATGCAGGGTGAGTATTGACTCCCGTATGCTATCTAGTAGTGTAGCGAGCATGTGACAGACTCTCAGTGAGCTAGCTGGCAAGAGACCATGAGTATAGTAAAAAATACCCCAGTAGATGAATTAGTGGTACCATGCATTCGTGTACTTACCTGTGAACATTACTACTAAGCCGAGGGTGGTTTGCACTTTAGTGACAAAAGTCTGGGACAAACAAATTGACAAATTGAACTTTCCCCGCCCATGTATTGAGTGTGGTCAGTATTGTTTTTTGCACATGTAAGAAGTCTCAACATAACTCTTTCGGATTTCCATTACCATTTTTTTCCACCTTAGATTTTATGAGTTTTCCTTAAACAATCCATGGATGGATAAGATAAAATGGTGCAAAACATATAGTTTTCTTTTTTTAATGCAGGCCAGTAGTTTTTTTTATTATGTAAAAAGCTTCTCAACAACTCTCTACCATTTTTGGTACGCAGATTGCCTTATGTCCATTCTGCTTTTGTCATAGTGTCAGAAAAACTAGCGCCACAAACTACCACTCTACATGTCGAGTTGTGCGTAATGTTGACTACAGTGATGAAGATTACTTTCAAGTGCTTCCACTAACCCTCGGTGCATATATGCAGCGAAGGTTAAAGTACTAAACTGGCAAGAGAGTAAATTGACAACGCATAGCCAAGCCTATCATTTAGTGGTACTGCGCATGTGTATAGGTTTGACATTTCTAGTGCGCCGAGGATTTGCACTTTAGTGCTTTTCATTAGCTACAGAAATGTCTCTGTACCTTGACTCCTCCTGATTCATCTCCAGAGGCTAACAGTCTCTCTGAGATACTGTACAGACTGTAGAGTGGGGTGCTGGGGGGGAGAGAGAGAGGAGAGAGGCATACCACACATCGTGGAGTGACTGGGAGTGGTCCTACACCGTAAGAGATCAATTTGTTCACCCGAAACAACAGCGGAAACACAAGCACTGACATCTTGGCTAAGAGCAGAATATATGTTATCCATGGATTGTTTTGGCAAAAACGACAAGTTATAAGGTTAAAATTCCAGCCCTACATTTCTCTAGACCGACGTCTCTGGACGCAGTGCAATGCCAAACTGTACGCTGTCCTTTGAGATGTACATGTATGTGGGTCAATGGTGAGATTCGTGGGTAAGGGGAGGAACCAGAGCTGTTTCCAGCCAATGCTCTGGAGAGAGTGAAGTGCAAACACATGGTATGACCAGTGGAGATCACTTGGGAGCTCAGGGAAACCTTGCTGCTGGTGGGACTAAAACTGTGACTATGGACCAGGCTAACACTGGCACTGGAATGCCACCCCAGTAAGATAAGCAAGTGTTGATGGAGGTAGACCACATTGTTCCATCCTGCCCAGCTATATAATAGTGGTGATTGGGCGTATATAGCAAGTAAGAGACCTTTGAACCCTCCATAATTATTCGGCTAAACAATCTCCAGACAACTAGTACAGTCCCATTCAAATTACTATTTGCAGCCCTTGTATATAGTCCCAGTCCCAGTCTTTCTCTGCTATGGATGTGTATAACATTACACGAGCACATCCACAACAACCGACTGGGAACTAGGCAATGAAGCACATATACTGCTGGTATGTACAGAATCAAGACTGTTTGTGCAAGTAACTGAATATTAGCATTAGAAGGGTGCTGCCTCATGTTCAGAGTTTACATACAAGGAATGCAAGTAATGACCACACAAACATTGGGAATGATGTGATCATCACCACAGTTCCTATTCACAGTATAAATAGAACATCAGTCCTATTTATAGCCAAGTTTTGACCTTGTCCATATAGAAAGGGCTGTGGTGCAAGCCAGAGGGGGAATTGCGTAAAAGCTCATTGGAATCTAGCCCTGAAAGAGTCCACTTCACACAACCCTGGCCCTCTGCCAGGTGTAACTGGTATTGCCCCTCTCGTAAGGCCTCCTTACCTACAACAATAGCCTCTAGAGCACTTACAGCAAAACCACAGGTGTGTAACAACAAACAAAAGTAAAAGCCTAGTGTGCATATAGTGTGGAGTTACTCATATCATGCACCTTTTTCTACTCAATTCTGGGATGGATGTCAGACCAGTGACTGTGGTCAACTGAGCTCAGTGCTGGGCCTCTGGGCAAATTTACTTATGTTCTGCCCCCAAGAAATCTTCCAGGCAGGAATATTCCTAAGTCAGCGTTTACAGCAAGTCCAGACACTATTGGGAAAATGTGTTTTGCATCCAATAATGTATCCAGAAAATTGCTCCTCCTTTGGAGGGTCTGATCCTTACACCCTAGAACGGTTCTAGTGACCTAATTACACACACTGAGTAAATCTGGCAATAAAGGTTTTGGATTTAGGGGCAGCCAGGGAATGGGGCTACTATGTTGGAACTTCCCCTCACCCTCTCCCTCTCCTCCTCTCTCCCTCTCCTCCTCTCTCTTACCAGTGAGCCTTCTTGATGTCAGAGGTCAGTGTCCCAGTCTCAGTGTCTGTAACATACAGTGAGCCATTCTTACTGCTAGCAGAGTACAGCCCTGTGGTAGCAGGGGAGAGGGGGGGAGATGGGAGAGAGAAGGAGGAAGAGGGGGAAATGAAGGAAGACAATGTAGGAAACTAATAAGAAAGTCAGTTGGGTAATGGAGGATAATGACACACTGGAGCCTGGGTATGGTTTAGCACATTCAGGAACTTATATGTATAATATACATAATTTTGGCGCCAAATTGTACCTTTTCCCAGAGCGGGTCACATATACTGTACTCTTGCTAATTTTAGAAGAGAGGGTTTCTTTTTTTGCTGACTCAATGAGCACACTGTTTTGAGCAATTATTACCCTGTGCATAGTGCTTGCTTGTAAACAAAAGTACAAGAGAAAGTGCATGATGCCCAGACCCTCTCCTCAGGTAAATGATATACAGTGACTATTGGGCTAACTCAACTATGGCATGTACCAATAGGCTGGTTTTGTTTGTGGATATGAGGAATTCATGGAGCTGTGCTACAAATGACTGCTAGCATCTCAAAGTGATATCCCGGTCGCTGCACTCTGACTAGGTGTCTCAAAACTAAGGCTGTCAGTCAGCATAACCAAGAAAACGCTCGAGACAGTCACCAGACCTTTTCCTCTCCTGAGGGTGTGCAAGAATGGTTGTATGTACGCCTCCAATGCTTCTGCCATGCCAGACAGTGAGATACAGAATGAATGGTGGCAGAGTGAGAGTGATATTGATAGCAAGTAATGCCTCACTGGATCCTCGACTGGAGAACTGCAGAGCTCGGCAAGAGTGGCCAGGGTGGTGGGTATACTCTGTCACCACCTCACAGTCCAGTCCACTCACATAGCGATACCTGTTAGAGTCAATGTGTACAGGGACACTCCATAATAATGGTTTGAACTTCATACCACACTAGTAGAGTGTGCATAGACATGTATTGAACCAAAGCATTGCATAGTATCTACTAGTAGGGGTTGAATAGAGACATGTAGAAACACAGTGAATTCAGTGGGGTACCAGGTCATGAGATGCCCATCCATATATAACTAAGTACAGCAGATACACTGTAGCATGGCTTTTGCTGAGGAGTGCATAGAGTTTTTGCATGTAGGTACAAGTACATACTGGACAGTGGGTATTTGGGGCAATGAGAACTTAGCCTTCCTGTTGTAGTGTTAAAGAAAACTTCTTCCATCTACTTCTGGGCAGAAACTAACCACACATTGTTGCTTTTTCCCCTATGAAAACAACCATACATGACTCCTCCCTACCTGCCCCTACTAATGTACATAGCCACATTTGAGGGCACAATGACCTAGCCAATTGAAATTCTGCCACTATTGTGATTTTGTGAACCAGGAATGCAGCATTTGCTAACTTGTATATATAGCTCCTTTTGCTGGCACATAGAATGAGATCTCTCCCAAAGAGCTTATCTTATCAGTTTATTACTGCCCCCCCAGAGCACAGAGAGGATTGTTCCCACATACTATCACACACAAAGTATAAATGTGTATATGCTCTATATTGTACCTACCACATGGTACCCATTATACCCCACATAAAATTAGGGATAAAAAAGCATCAGTGTTATGTTTATTATGATGTGTGTTGTGTATGGCAACAGCAGCATTGAGGAAGGCGAGGAAATCCTGCACTATCACCACCACAAGCTAAGAACCGTAACCAGACAAACACCAATACGATTGAACTGTCACCAAAACCAAAGCTTTGCCTTTTAAAAAACATTGGCACCTGTGTGGTGGGGTGGGCAATCAAAATTATTCTGTGTTTTTTTATGCTATAGAAAGGTAATGTGTGGCTTGGCCTGCACTATATTCGTGTGGCATCAATACAATATAAAACCATGCAAGTTCCAAATATCAACCCACCAACCCATATCATCAGAAATTGATACCTGCTCTGAGGCAGGGTATAATGGATGATATAAAGCTTCAGGCACAGCTGAGTCTTCCCAGCTGAGTCCTCCCTAGCTGATGATTTAAACCACAACCTTACCTCAGCGAGTGTGTGTTGCATGCCTGTGTTTTGATTGATTGAACAAGCCTCCAAGATCACTGTGGCATGTGAACATTAAGTCACCGGTCCCTTCATGGGGACCTACACCTAGCCCCATTGTTCTGGTACTGGCCAGAGTACAGCCAGCATACTTGAATCCTACTTTATGAGCAATGGTTACACTGAAATATCTCATGTCAATAGTCATTACCCCTCAATGTTTGTCAACCACGTTTCCCGCACGAAAAATACTATGTATGTACTAGAGAAGTATATAGACCTAACTAAATGAGCGGTAGCTTCTGACGGCGCTGTTGGCAACAGTCAAATTTTGAACCACAATAAACCATAAGACACCACAATACTGGCATACAGACATTTAAAGATAGGGAACTGCTTAAAGTGATATAGCAAAACAAGGTTGCCATTTGACCTAATTTGAGGATACCCATTGCCCTAATTCTTCCTGGTATTAGGTGCATAAGTATAATGGCAGCAGAGCTTACATCCAAAGGCATAAGGGCTCATTAGGTATGCATACAACCAAACCTAGTGAGGTAAAGTGGAGACATTGTTGCCACATCTTGACAATATTGAACAACTTAACTATGTCCAATAGATGTGTATTCCAATACAGGGAGATATAGAATATTTATGCATGCATCTTTAGTTATGTATCACTTCGCCTGCAGAGCGCCCCTTCTTGTTATGCAGAGCCAGAGTACCACCTACAATCAACACAACTTTAATACGGTATTTACTGATGTCTGCTAAGGATTCATCATGTATACCCTATGAGTAGTAGTTGAGAAGCCTCTTCAACTGTTGCTAAAATATACCAGACCACACTGTTAAAACCTTAGTAGTGCCTGTTGGGAGGTAGCTCTTTTGCATTTGAGTGAGTTGTGTTTATGGGTGAACACGGAGGTTTTCCCCTGCCTACCAGTGATTGAAAACTGATTAGCACCATAACTAGGCTTAAGTCCCTCTCTAAGACCCAAAAAAAAACCCCTGTACAAGGATCACCCTGTTTCTTTCCCCACAAAGAACAGTTTTATGAAATAGGACATCCTAGCTATGTTCCAATAGTTGTCAAGATTGGCAACTAAAACATGCTTAGATTTTGGTTGTGGTCAGAGGGTTCCCATATACTGATGCCTGGTGGGGTGAGACAAGACATGGGGTGGACAAGATGCCAAAAGGAGGTGCTAACAATCACACAAACAAGAAAGTCCAGGGTCAGCTGTGGCTTGTCACCTGGGTTGGTTGGCAATTGCCAGACAGCTGGTCTGTGTAGTCCTTTCTAGCGCCTCCACAAGCCACAATTGTACATACATACCTACCACCCAGGGTAATTAGTTATCATACCACAGGTAGCCCCCCTCAAGACGTGATCCCTCCATGGTAATATTTGGATCAAGAACTAGCACAGAGCTAGCCGTGGTAGGACCTCCAATGATGACTATCAGTTTCTCGAACCACACACTGTTTTGTGTTGTGGTGGATTCACACTATGTCTCTGATTCAAAAGTCAACCACACAACCTGGTATACAAAATAATAAATCTACAACACTTGTTGAAAGGGGAAGGGACACACCAATATTATGGTTCATTGACTGACCAAGGGGTAATACAACAGGGACTATACTACAGACACCTAATTTTATGTGGTAATCAAAACAGTCCATAATAGGTTTAAATTGCCTGAATACTTTCAAGAGGAGAGTGAATTTAGGAGCTGTTCCTATTTCCTTATAGATGGAGTAATCCACTGTGCCAAAATATATTTTTTCCAAATGCTTAGGCTAAAGAGAACACAGCACAATAGTTATCACTTAGGTTCAAATGCACTTAGGTAGGTTGGAAAGCAGCTCGTACCTAAATTGTGACACATAATCTTTCGGTTGATTGTGAATGAAATTACATATCTTCCATTTGTGGCATGAGTCCACCTGTTGCCTGGTGGCGACAATGTAAAAACTAAATCACCCTACAAGGAGCAGATTACAGGCTTAAAACCCCACTGATCTGCCCATGAATGCAAGTGGTGATAGGGGGGGGGTGACATAAATTCCAAGCTACACAAATTTGGGCTATGCCAAGGACTCAAAAGGGGGGACTGTTGTGAGGACAAGAATCTGCACTTCAGGATGTCACCACCCTTTTACGGTTGATAATAATATGGTTGGCAATTTCACTTGTCAATTAAGGCACCACTTGCTAGAAATGACAACCTCTCTCAATGTTGTAGTGTAGTACAAGGGTAATTCATATACTATACACTACCGTACCACTGTTGAATCTGGTTCAAAATTTTGTCTTACAATGATCACTTGCAGTACAAAATTCTCCCTACACAAGTGTGCTATCAACTTCACTAGTGCAATGTTGGATGTTGTGATGGATTAAATCAATGTGGTGTAAAGGTGATGAAAGGGTTGGAGTTTGAGAGATATGATGAACAAAAACATACCGACAAGGTATGTAATAGCCTGCATAACTGTTGTTGGACGGAACTTTGTCTAGTGACCCAACCAGTGGATCCATTTTTCAGAAGCGAGGCTAGGGCCAATTAGCAAGCTGTTGAAAATGCGAAAGGGTGAGATTAGAGGTAGATGAGTGATGGTGTGCGCTGTACTGAATAATACATCCAGGTGTACCTACATCTATATAGTACAAGCCTGCTGTTAAATAGTGCCAAAACTCTCATTACTCTACAACGATAGACAATAAGCATGGACAATGTTTTACTAACGGAGTATTGGTCACCTAACGGGTCCCTATAACTAGTATCTGCACGAACAGGCTATGGAAGAAAGAGTTAGAACAAACAATTAGGGGGAGTTAGAGTATGTAGCACATATCAGCACTTTTTTGAGCTCAAGCCAGCTGTGTTGTAAGGCCGTCGCCAGCTTTGTTTCA